GGGTCTAAGGTAAGACACCAGTCCAGTCTGTGCTGGAACGCTACTGTCAATGAAACTATCGTGGGAGGGGCCTGTCTGTGGCATCTGAGATCGGCTCGATTTGAGAAAGGGGAAAGCATTTAACGAGATAAAAAAAACAACACTGGATGGATTTTTATCATTATAGGGTGGTTGTGTACACACACTGCCAACACACATTTCAGTTCAAACAACTTGTAAAAGTGCATGTAGCATCCTATGACCCCTTTAAGGACCAATTCTCACTATAAACTAGTTGCTTATTAGCCTGCATATTAGCTGTTTATTAGTAGTTATAAAGCACATATTAATGTCTTATTCTGCATGACCATATATTAGATCCCTAAATCCTACCCCATACCTAAACTTAACAACTAAGTTAATAGTGAATATGTGATCCCTATTCTAAAGTGTTTTTCTATTTGACTGAGTTGGAAGCAAGCCTTTTATTTTCAGCAGCGCCTGAGCAGAGACGCACAGGATTCTCCGTCTTCATTAGTTTAGACAGGACTGGTAAACTAACGGTATATGAAAAAGTACTTTACCGTTTGCTTGTCTATTATTAGTAACAGAAAGGCAAGCACTATAATAAGCTATATATTCAGCAAGTGCATTTGTATTATATATCATTGTCAGTTAAACAGTTTACTTCCTTTTTATTTGTTTTTAATAATTTCTTAACTTGTGAAAAATAGGATTTAATAAGATTACTTAATCAAGAAGTTGCTATATAAAGTATAATTCTGTTTATACTTTAATATAAACAGAACAAGTTAGGGTTATTTTTTTCATATCCATTCATTTACAAATTATTTACTTATAGTTTAGTAAATATTATGTGAAACAAATATCTATTTGCAGCATACGTAATTTGCTATAATTATATTAAATAGTGATATATCACATATATTGGCTTTATATCAACATTGGCCACCCCGTTTTCTAAGGTATTGGCATTGGCAGTCAAAAAATCATCACCCTCGCATCATGGTGGTGATATTTACACAGATAGAAAATGCAAAGATCCACTTTCATGATCTAAATATCTGTCAACATTTTGAGGTCAAATCCAGTGACTAGTTCTTTACTAGTAGTAGTCTACACTGTATCAGTCTGGGAACTTGTAAATGTAACTTTGTTTCCTGGTGGACGGATATAAACCTGTGTGCACTGACTCCTGGAAACTGCATAAAGTCAATCAGACTGAAGCTTTCTGATTTGTGATTTGGCTCCTCTTATAAATCTATGTGGAATATCAGAAATATCTGCTTTTGGTCCCAAACTTCTGATCCAGATTGCTACTGCTGCCACTCACCTAATCAATCTGGATGTTGTGGTTATTTATTGCCTCTTTTTATTCATCCTGGAGGACACCTCATCACTTATCAGTGACCTGTCACTCTCACCTCCTGCTATCCATCTCTTTTATCCTCTCTTCCCTGTCCTCATCCCTCGCTCCGTGTCTGGAGACAGACAAGGTCGTCACCTCAGGCCCGACAGAGACAGATAATGGGCGACTCGTCTCGCCCTCGTGACCGCGGCGGGAATGAGACGGGCGTTCACTGCGCGCGTGTGTATGATAAATGATGTGTGCATCATGAGGTCATCGCTAACAGGAGACCAGAGAAAACAAAGCCAATCAGAGAGAGAGAGAGAGAGAGAGAGAGAGAGAGAGACGCGACGAGCAAACGGAAGAGGGAGATAAAATTAAACCAGGAAAACCAATTGTGAACTATTGAAAAAGATTGAAGAGTGATGAGATGGAGAGAACAAACAAATTAACGAAAGAGAACAAAGGGACGGACAAAGAACCAACAAAAAAGAACAAAGAAAGTGTAAATGAATGCACGAAAGAAAGAAATAAAGAAAGGAGCAATAACATGAAAGAAAGCATGAGAATGGGATAAAGAGCAAAAAAAGAAGCAAAAGGAAGTGAAAGAAAGCACATAAGAAAGGATCAAAAGTGTGAAATAAAACATGAAAGAATGAAAATGTGAAAAGAGCGAAAGAAAGCAAAAAGGGAGCAGAAGAAAGTGTGAAAAAGCATAAAAAATTATTAAAGAGTACAAGTGTCAAAATCAAATTGCAAAAGAGAGTGAAAGAAAACGTAAGAATGCAAAAGAAAGAAAGTGCAAATGTGTGAAAGAACACAAAAGAAAGAAAGAAAAAAAGAAAGAAAGAAAAACAAAGCATGCAACAGAAAGTGCTAAAGAGCGTGGAAGAAGCACATGAAAAAAGCGCAAAAACGCACACGCACGCACGCACACACACACACACACACACACACACATCAAACAATGATTGACAGATGTCAAAACAGCCACTACATGGAAAACAGGAACTTACTCTTTCTAAAGTAATAATAGAGTCTGATTAAACAAGTCCACAAAGAACAGTTCATATAATTAAATAGCAATTCAGAAATCACTGTTCACTGTTAAAATCACTACTTCAACAGCAACAGCAGGGGTGTAGCTCCTCATTTAATACGCAAAACGGTCAGCCAATCATAACAGAGGTTATTTACATATAGAACACTAGCCTGTTTAATTGTTAATGTCAGAGGTGGTGGGAAACGTACATAACCAAACTATAAATGTTTTGGTCCAATAAACAGACTACAACTAGAAGTGGACTTCATGAGAAAATATCAAATGTATAAAATGAGCTCCTAAAACAGTTATGACTCCAATAACAATATATCCCACAAACCTGCATCTTCAGAAGGTCTTAAAGGGATAGTGTTGGAGCCAAAAAAAAAACACTATGGAAGTCAATGGGGACTAGCAACCGTTTGGTTCCCAAAATCCTTCAAAATATCTTCATTTTGTGTTCAGAAGAAGAAAAGCATTCATGCCGTTTTGAAACCGCTTGAGGGTTTGCACACTTGACCGGGTTTAAGGAGGCTAATGGGGTCAAATGGGCGAGTGTGAAGTTTAATATCGTGAGCTAAACAGCAGTCTCTCGCTGTCACACAGCTTCCATATGGGTCATGATGATATAGGTCGAGGACAAACATGTGTGTCTCTGTCGTTCTCCCTTCAGGCACAGCGTCTCACACAGAAAGAGAGCAGACGGCTTGGGAAAAACATGGGAGTGATGTTTTAATAACTCGCCCACAAAATATAATTTAATGTGCATGTGCAGCAAATAAAGCCAGCTATTTAAAGATGAAACCGACTACATGTAAATACAGATCTGCGTCTCAGATTCTTTGCAAACTCGGTGTCAATAAATACAACACAAAACCCCCGAGAGCCACGACAGAAACTCCCAGCTGTAATCTGATGCTGAGAAACATGGGCTGAAACGCAGAACAATACACACGGATGAAAGAAAGAGGCATAGGATGAGACGGCGTGATAGTCGTGGGAAAGAGATCAGAGCGCTTTAAGACAGAAGAAGAGAAGGGAATCATTGCATGACACACTTACAGTGACTTTATGTTGTCCGGAGAGGTCTGGAGATTCACACATCAGCTGAGCCTCGGACACGGTTAACACACACGGCTCGTCACCGATCAGAACAGTGTAGTTTAACCTGGAGTTACCAGCAGCCGAAGGAATCAGATTCTTGCCCTGAAACACAAACACACACACAAATGTGTTGATTTTCATCAAATTATCATATATAGGACATCATCCTAAAATACTCTGTCAGTGTTTCCTGCTAAACACATGTACAAAAACAACCAGTAGTTGTACTTTTATGACTTGGAGTCAGTTCTTTTTAAATTAATTAGCCTCAAACTCATGGTTTTGAATCGGTTTAAAAACTCAAGTCTTTAAATCAGTCTGCGCAACTGCAGTTTCTGTGCACTATTTTAGTTTATGTAAAACTTTAAAATATTGTTAGTAGAAATATTTTGTGCACAGTATTTGTTCCTTAAATTGTTAAAGAGCCAGTGTTGTTAACTAAAGCTAAAAGTAAAACATTCAACATTATTTTTGTTAACTGAAATAAAATATAAACATTAGATGAAAAACTTAAATGAAAATTATAATATTTCCTTGGGAAATATATAAAATAAAATAAGTTTAAGTATTAACATGACTGAAACGGAACTAAAAATAAAGCAATTTTTCAACAAAAAAAAAGACAAGCACATATAAGATTAGTAAAACTTAAACTGATGAAAATGTAATTAAATATTAAATTAAAACTTAAATAAATGAAAATATTAAAATACAAGCTAATTAATAGATACTATAAAAGTATATAAATAACACTGCCATGAACTAGAATGTTAAACTCCTATACATATTCTCCAGTCTGAGCGTACAATGCGTTTGCTCTACCAGATTTCCAGCACACTCTCTCTCTCTCTCCGCCCAAGGGGCTTATGGGAAGGCAAAACCCGGAGGCAGAACCATGCATAAATATTTGCATGCTTCATTTAGAGACTTCAGTGTGTTACTGAAGAGCTCCATTTAACATGTAGACTCATCTCATACTGCGCATTACCCAGAAGAGTTTGCACGGGATAATGAATTGCAGATAATCCGATGCATGTAATTTTTCTTATTATTTAACGCTGTGCATTTTAATGAACTAGATTTATATATTTCCTGAAGTAAATGACAGGGTTTGTGAGTGGTTGCCAGGGTGTTGCTATGCAGTTTATACTTCAGTTTCTTACAGGCTCAAGTCTATAGAATTCACTCTTAAGTTTCCACGATATTCTGATCCCAAGAAATGGCTCAGGACCCTCCTTCAAGTCTCATTTTTGCCAGCCTCCATGTGAAAATGTGTTTGCTTAGAAAAGTAATAACACTTCATGATTTGAACTATCTTTCGTTTCTGTAGCACAAAGGATTTTGGATAAATTACGTGTTAAAATGTAATGCTTTGAGACGTCTTCTATACTTTTGTTGGAATTTTCAGTGTGAACGCACTACTCGCACTATTTATACAAAATGTCCTAGAATAGTACACAAACTGTGATGCACATATAGTAATAGTGTACTAATCGGTGTTATTTTTGTATAATGTAAGATTATATCTTTTATTATCTTGAATCAGTTTTTATTTTTGCATTTTCCATTTCTATTTTAATTTTAGCTTACATTGTAGCAATTTTGATGTTTTTTTGTCATTTTTGGTAACACTTTACTTAAAGCCTTTATGTATAATGCATAATAAAAGTAGTTTTAATGCATTAATTATGCCTTGTGATACACCTTATAATGCATTGTACAATCTCATGAATAACTGTAACCACTGTTAATACATTATAACACTTATCAATTCATTGTTACACTATGCATTTCAAATTCAGTTATAATTATTTACGACAAGATCAAATGTATTACAATGCACATTATGAATAATTATAATGCATTACACCCTTTAATAACCCTTAATAATGCATTATACATAAAGGCTTTAAGTAAAGTGTTACCAATATTTTTAATTACGATTTAGCTTCATTTTAATTTCAGTTTTAGTAATTTTTGTACTTAATTTTATTTTATCCCCCTACTTTGCCACATCATTTACGTTTTTCTCTTACTATTTATATTTAATTTTTTTAAGTTAAACTAAATGAAAATGATGAAATTGAATATATCAAACAAAACTTTGTTTTATTTTACTTAAGTTCACAATTATTTTTATTTCATGTAACATAGTTTTAGTTATTTTTTAATGGTTTTAGCTAACTATAATAACTGTGGTACTATTAATATGTGAGAAATATCACTCCAGTGCTGCTATTCTCAAGCTCTGTAAAAACTGTGTTCAAATGCAATAACAGACATGCAGGTGGCCTTATAGTTGCAGTGTTGCTCTAAGGGGATTATTATGCTAAAAAATAAAGAAATACAGTACAATGGCTCCAACACGTGTAATGAGATCTCCTCACCTTCAGGATGAGAGTAGATCCCGGTTTGAGCTCCAGCATGGACGGAGCGAAGGGTTCAAACACAGGGTCGGGATAGAAACTGAAGGTCTCGTTCACCACCAGCAGCGTCTGAACGTTATCCATGATGAACCCGATCTCATCCGGCCCGCTGCCCGCCTCTGAGAAACCCCTCTCGGACCCCGCCACGGATGGCACCAGACACACCATCACGGTGTTATTGAGCACAGTGCAGTTCTGTGAGAGACAGCAAACATCACGCATTACTGACGACACTAACACTGCTTCAGAGAAGCAGAGAGGAGGAAAACAGCAGCGAGAGCCAGGTCAAGGAGAAGAAAAGGTCGCGTTGGCCCTGGGGGACTTTCTCAGGGCTTTATAGAGCCATTTTATGTTCTATATCCCGTCAGCCGTTGACATTTTAAAGGTTAAACTGGGAAAAGGCGATTCAATGTCACACATGCACAAAGAAAAACATGTGCAAGTATACTCGTTTGTCTGTTCCTGCTGCTTTAGAGCTCAGAGTGAACACAAACACACCATAAAACTAGTCTAGACTAAAGCGTTCCAAAGTTTGGAGTCGGTAAGATTTGTTAATGTTTTTGAAAGTCTCTTCTGCTCACCAAGGCTGCATTTATTTGATCAAAAACACAGAAAAATCAGTAATATTGTGAAATATTTTTACAGTTTAAAATAAGTGTTTTCTATGTGAATATCTGCTAAAGTGTAATTTATTTCTGTGATCAAAGTTGTATTTTCAGCATCATTACTCCAGTCTTCAGTGTCACATGATCTTCAGAAATCATTCTAATATGCTGATTTGCTGCTCAAGAAACATTTCTGATTATTATCAATGTTGAAGCTGCTTAATATTTTTGTAGAAATACTGAAAATCATCTCTTTTGGGGGTAAACTATTGCTAAACTCTCGGGTATGACTGTAGAGAAAGGAAAGGAAGGAATAATGTGATGATAACTCGGTCTGTATGTTAGAGACTTACGTTGACTGAAGTGACGCTGCCGTATTTGGCTCTCATCTTCGGCTCTCTGACGGTGGCCAGGTTGCTGCCGATCGCTGTTAACGGGGTTCCTCCACTAACAGAGAGAAAGACAATAGTGTAAACCTCAAGAGAACATGGATTTTCTCTCTCATCCATCAGCTCACACAACATTTTGATTTCCTTCTGAAGCTGCTTTAACCACTTTGGCTGAATCACAATTTGAGCACTTTTACTGCACTAAAAGTACGTACTAAACTGTTAAAGGTAAAGAATATCATTTTAAACATGCAGTACAATACCATTCAAATGTTTGAGGTTAGTACTTTTTTTTTAAAGAAATTAATGCTTTCAATTCAGTAAGGATGCATTAAATTGATCAAAAGTGACAGTAAAGACGTTTATAATGTTACAAAAGACTTCTATTTCTAATAAATGCTGTTCTTTTGAACTTTCTATTCATCTGTGAATCATGAAAAATAAAATGCATCACAATTTCCACAAAAATATTGTGCAACTGCTTTCAACATTGATAATAATCAGAAATGTTTCTTGAGCAGCAAATCAGCATATTAGAATGATTTCTGAAGATCATGTGACACTGAAGACTGGAGTAATGATGCTGAAAATACAGCTTTGATCACAGAAATAAATTACAGTTTAACAGACATTCACATAGAAAAGAGTTATTTTAAATAGTAATAATATTTCACTATTTTACTGTTTTTACTGTAATTTTGATCAAATAAATGCAGCCTCAGTGAGCAAAAGAAACAAAAGATTTTTAAAAAATCTTACTGACCCCAAACTTTTTATTTTTGGTAGTGAATAATACCATAGAGCTCTAAAAATACAATTAAAATGCATATGCATAAATGTGTTTACATTTGCAATGACAATGCCAATGCATAGCCATGTTAGGATGCTGTAAACAATCTCACATTTATTTAAAATGTAATAAAAGAAACACATTAGACATGTGAAGATGAAAGAGCTTGTGTTATTTGTGCATGTGAATGGTGCTTTTGGGTGTTGTAAACTAATTTCTATGATTTCCAGCATAAAAGCAAACCGCTGGAGTATTAACCTGCTTAACCTGTCTCTCTTCATCTCTCTCCCTGTGGACGTGAAATGCTTCTTCACAGCTCTAGACGTCAGTGTGCCGTCAGATTCATGTGTCTGCAGGCTGTGATGTTACTCAAACCTCCAGAGACGGAGCTGCAAACGCTCACCTGCGAGCCGCACTAGTGGGCTTTATTTTCACAGAGAAACACTCTCATATAACCCTCTGAATCAAACCTGAGCGAGCAGGTCGCTGTGTGTTAATGAGTCTGACCTGGCGATGCTCCAGTCCGGCTCTATCTTCAGGATGCTGGGGTCGTCTGTGTAGTTGAACTTGACCTCCGGGTTTCTGAGCTCGGCTGCGTTTATGTCCACCATCACTGGGGTCCCTCCTGAACCCAAACCCGCAGGAGTCACACACACGATCTCACGGGCGCTTCGCCTGAACACACACACACACACACACACACACACATAACCACAAAACCTCAAATCATGGAAAGCCAGAATCACTTGCTCTTCAAGAATAAGAGTTTGATGTACTATGTAACGTCAAAATTAGTAACGTAAATTTTTTGTGAGCATTTAATAATAAAAAAAATGCTTACTAAATTAAATTATTTATAAGTATTTTACACACATACTGTATATGGGTATTTTATCAGTCTTTATGATAAACCCATCATAGAGAAGGAAAATTCTACTAACTGAGAGTAATTAATACTGCGCTAAATTATTTAAATTCAAAAACTGATTTTATTATTTTATTTTGTAATTAATTTAATTTAATAGTTTTTAAAATATTATCTATAAATATTTTATGCAAATATATGGTCATTTTATCAGCTATTGACAAACCCATCAGAGAGAAGGAATTTTTTTTTTATTTACATTTTTTAGTTATTCCCAACTAACTAACAAATGTAATGTATTAAATACTGTGCTAATTTATTTAATTAAAAAAAGTGATTTTATTTTCATTCATTTATTTATACTTTTATTTTATTCACATATATGGACATTTTATTGGTCATCAGAATTGAACAACCCATCAGAGAGAGAGGAAAATGATTGACAGCTAAATTTCAGCTGTGAGTAATATAGTAAATATTGTGATAATTTATTTCATTTCAAAATATGTTGCGATTTTATTTATTACTTTTATATTTTATTTTATTTATCTGCCATTGTCAAACCAACCAGAGAGAAGGACAATTTAGTTATTTCAAACTAAATTACAACTTTGAGTAATGTAGTAAATGTTGTGCTAACTAAACTAATTTATTTGTGCAACATTTATGTGTTTTTTTGTTATTATTATATTTTATTTGTATTTTTTACCATTGAAAAACTCATCAGAGACGGGAAAATGGTGATTAACAACTAAATTACAGCCATTTTTTGCGCAAGAAACCCTGACTAACATTATAAGAAGACTTCATAAAAAAAATAATAAAATGAAACTAATGTGTAAAATTTGACTCGTTTATATGTATTTTAGATTTCAGAATAAGAACAATAACCAGAACTCATTGACCTGAACGCTGTCTGACGGGAAGAATGAAGTCAATCATGTGTGCAGAGTGTGTGACGACACGGTTGCATCAGGTTTGGAGGTTCAAAGATCACTCAGAGTGACGGCTCTGAACACGACAGACTTTAATCTGATCAAACCAACACATGCACGACAGACAGCTCGTTTAGTCATGTGACAGATAAGAGCAAGATGAGCTTCAGTCTGAAGGTTCGTTCCCATGTTTGATCGCGCGCGCAACCTTGTTCACAACATGCAGTGGTGAAACCTGCTGAGTTCTGGACATATTTTGACAGCACTGTCGTCACATTAGTGTAGACACACACACACACATCAATCATTTCTGTTTGCTTTCAGACCCGATGACTAAAAGAAATCAGTCCCTCTGAACACCTGATGACAACACTGTTATATGCATATATATATATATATATATATAAGCAAAATATGATTTTTTTTTTTTTTTTTTCCTCCCGTAGGCAGGTTCAGACAGACACACACCCAACAATTATATATATCATTGATAAATCATGGCAGGATTATATTATATATTAAATAGAAATTATATTAAAAAATATATTTTTAAAATTATTATAATACATGAGACCACCATTGAGAACAATGGTAAAATCAAAGTCCAAAGTAAATTTTAAAATTGTTTTCATTTCTTTGTGCAACGTTTTAATTCCTGAATTTGGGATTAAATATGGTATTTAAATGGCATTCCAATAAATTCAAATCACAAACATGGCATTGTTGTGGTGCTTTTCAGTGTTATTTTAGCATTGTTTATATATTATTATATACTATTTATTAATATTTTGAATTTGTTTTTGTTTTATATTTTCAGTTTTCATTTTAATGTTTGTTCAAGATTTATTAATTATGTTATGCGCTTTTGTTGTTTTTATAAAAAAAAAAAATTATATTCCTATTTAGCTTTAAATGTAATTTTATTTCAAGATTTAACTTTTAGTAATCAAGTCATTTAACTTATTTGATTTCAATAATGTGTCAAGGCAACATTTCTAAATTTTGTTTAATTTTTTAAGTTTAAGTTTTTCTCCCAATACTTTTATTTTATTTAATTTCAGCTTCATTTCAATTACCGAAAATGATTTTTAATAGCTTTCGATTTAATACACAATAAGAGCACTGAGGGCTGCATCTAGAAGTGCAAAACCCTGCAGGTTAAAGCTTCCATCTGCCTTAATTAGTTTTGAACATGCTACAGTGTTGACTGATTGAATTAACAGCACATATCAGTATCTTATGTCTGAATGCTCAGATGAGGTGAACAGATCAGCGCACCTCTCGAAGCGGCAGGTGTTGAGTCCGATCTTGATGGAGACGGCGCTGCCCGAGTTCAGATGGCTGCCTTGAATACTGATCCTCGTTCCTCCGGAAATGGGCCCGTATGACGGCAGCACGCGTGTGAAGTACGGCGACTGGACACGGACACACACACACACACACACACACACACACACAGTTTATAATGACATTACACAGAGATTTCGTCACAGATCACACTGTTTGACAGTGAAACTCACCACAAACGTGAAGGCTTTGGGAGACACGGCCCTGTACTCCGGCAGACAGTCTCGCACACACACCTCCACCTGAGCTTCCTGAACACGGTAACCTGTGGCGTCGGCCAATCGACACACGATCCTGCACAGAGAGACAGAGAGAGACGTGAGGGTCTCAGAGGCGTCTGGACTCGAATGACATCCATTTCAACAGTGATTGAGCGGCTGAATGTGAGACGAGGAGTGTCTGTGCCCAGCGTTTCTAGGTTCACGCAGATGGGAACAGAGTTTTCTGTGTTTGCAATGAAAAAAGCACAGCTGTTTGTTTATTTCCTAGAAGTGTGAAGACCTGCCACGATTTATTAATAAACTGTAAAGACAAAGGTTTCTGAGGAACTACATTGTTTGGTGGAAGAATACGTTTTTTATTAATATCATTACACTTTATTTGCTCTGCTTTATTTTGTGAAACCTTACGATGTATATGGAATAACCGTTTTATAAAAGCAATAAGCCCCGTGTAGCCGTGGTTTACAGTGAATTTATAACAGCTTCGTGTCGTGCCTAACAACGCCCCTTAGCTGTTATAAATTCACTGTAAACCACGGCTTCTTGGGGCTTATTGCTTTAAAGCATATGTGTCTAAATAAATATATATTTGACAGTCCAGGGCTGTTCAACCTAGGGTCCGAGGAAATGTTCATAGAAAAAGTGTAAAAAAATAAATAATAAAATTTAAGGTAATAAATAATTTTTTTAATTAAAATAATTTAAATTAGACTAAAACAAACAACAAATATATAAATAAATTTAATTAAATAAATACATTTAACAAATAAATAAATTTTAGATTTAAATAAATAAATAAAAAATATAGAGAAATTTAATTAAAATAAGTAAAAAATTCATGCCAATAAAGTCCTTCAGATGTAACTGTTTGAGACACTCACTGTTCAGCGCTGATGTATTCCTCCTCGATGGGCTGACAGGCCACTTTCCCGATCCGCACTCCGTTCTGGATGTCTTTGAACTGAAGGCCCAGATTCTCTCCGCTGATGGTCAGTCTGGTTCCTCCCTGCCGCGGGCCGGTCTCAGGAAACAACTGCACCACGACAGATACGCAAATTACACTTTTTTGCATGAACTACACCTTGAAAACAATTCACAGAGACATAGACATGAAGCATATCATCAGAACCGAGTGCATCGGCGGCCATCGAGACCTTCAGCCAAACCCAAGCGCAGAAGCAAACACAAACGGGTAATTGGTTTCAGAGGGACTGCTTTAATTTAACATTCACACATTTTTACAGATAGACGGATGAAAATACGAAAGCGCAGCTTGAGAGAGAGTAAAGCAGAGGAACAGAGAGAGAATAGGTGAACATCTTCTGAACAGATGGCTCTCGGAGCGCCTATGGTGTGCTAATAATCCATCTGATAAATTCATTCTTCTCCAAATTAAATTAACACCTAATCTAATGAGTAAAAGACGACAGTGGCGCCGCACAGAGAGAGCGCGAGCATGAGAAATCAAACGAGGAGAACAAAAGGAGTTTAATTAACACGAGGGGGTGTAAATTTAGTAAGATGTTGTTTTAAAAGTTAATATTCCGTCGACAGGAGAACTTGGAACTCGATGTAACGCCGCAGAAAATCTGCTTCCAGAGCAACAGAGAGCGAGGAACAAAGAACTGAAGGAAGAAAACTTATCAGTGCCTGGAACATTGTCTGTCAAAACCTGTCATGATATCAAGGGCTTGTAATGTGAAAATGACTAAATAATAATAATTTAGTAGTATTTAATTTTTTTTTTAATGAAACATTTTAATAAACATTACTAGTGCAATAAAAAAAATTATTTAATTTTTTAAAATTGAAATAAAATACAATTTGAATAGTACTACTAATACATATGTACTACTACTACTATTATTATTATTATTATTCAAAAAAATACAAATATTTACATTTCCAAAATAAAAAACAGTATTGCAATACTATTGTTGTACTGTAAATTAAAAACGAGTGTAATCAATAATAATAATAATAATAATAATTAGCTTTTATTTTGGTGGAAACCACAGGGAGACCTTAAAACTTCCGTTTTGTTGACAATAGATTTATACACAGGTCTCTGTACAAGTTTGAAATCAAAGACTTTTAATTTTGATTGATTGTTTATAATTTAGCGTGAAGCCAGCGACCACGGCTATATTCATAGAGACAAGGAAAAATAGAAACAGTAAACATCAAATAGAAAAACTTTTATAAAAGGGTTTTAAAGAGTTCATCTTTGAGCCCTGGTTTGCAGTAGCTCACCCTGGTGATGCGCGGGTGCGTGCAGCGGCTGTTTCCGGCGCTCGCGTGCATCCAGGTGTGTTCCTGCGGAGCGCATTCCTGCCGCAGAGAGCACTTCCTGTCCTGAACACACCAGCCGCACTCGAAGCTGGGGTCGGTCTTCAGACACAAACCACAGCTCTCCCGCAACGCATAACACTTATACAGGTGCGCTGCAGAGAGGAAGAGAGCTTCGCTTACGATTCATGGACAAGAGGAAACTCTGCTGATTATCTAAATCTCATGCTGCATCCCATTCAACAGGATGTTGGACTTTCCAGGAAACTCAGGTTTTCAACGCCACAGTCAAGGGTTTCCAAACTGATTCCAGGGAAATATTCACAGTGAAAATAAATAAATAAATTCCAATGATAATAAATAATAGTATAAAAAACTAAGATTAATGTAAATGTAGATAAATATATACAAAGACACATTTTTAGAAATAAATAAATAAATAAAATAATAATAGATTAAAACAAACAAACAAATAAATGTTAGCTTTAAGGAAATTAATAGATAAATTAAAATTAGATAAAAAATATAAGTAAATTAATAAATTAATAAATAAACAAGAATAAAAAAATAAATATTAGATTAAAATAAACAACAATAACTAAATTATTAAAATAACTAAATAAACAGATTCAAATGAATAAGCATTTAACAGTACAGTCCTATAATGAATAAATCAAATGTAATATTAAATTAATAGAACCTAAATATTTTTCTAATAAACATTTTTAAGTATAATTTGGGTCTTTATACAGGAAACAATATTGTTGGCTTTTAAATTTAAGATTTAGGGGTGCTTTGCACAAAGATGATCATATTTGGGTGTCTGTGGCATATAAAAGAAGAAACGTATCTATCGTATCTATCAATTAAAGTGCCAAGCTAATGGTAACACTGCCATTTTGTTTCTCTCCACGCTTTATTCTAAGACAAAGTTGGTAAGAAGAGATATGAAGAATTATCCCACATCTGACTGTGAAGGGATGACAGCATGAGTTCAAAATGATGCCAGCATTATGAATCATGAGCAACAACACGCCTGCAGAGCTGAAGGACAGGAATCATTTATTACAACACTGCATCTGCTTTTCCTGCTTACAAACTGTAGAGAATGTGAAGCGTGCTTGTTTATACACGCAAACGATGCTTTAAAACATTTACAGATGCTGCATCTCTCTGCTGCAGCATCCTGTGGCGGTTGCTAGGCTACCAGCTACAGTGTGCCGCAGTGGTCGCCATGGTTACCTTGGATGTTGTGAGGGTTGTCAATGATGAAGTTTCCGTTCCACACCACAGACAGATCAACGGGAAGATCGCTGATGTCACTTCCTTCATAGTTATACTGCAACACAACAACAAACGACATTTAACTCAATCCGAAATTAACTAAATAACTAAAGATTCGAGTGGTGTTTGCCTGTGCAAGACTCAATAACATGGTGCTTAGGTGATGCCAGACGGTTACTTTAACATGTAAAGCATCTCCTCAGGTGACCGTGAGGCCGTTCTTGACCGCTACTCTGTTATTTTACTGGTTTATTAATATGATATTATTTATTTAAGAGCTGGGACGATGCACGTACACTGCACACAGTGAAGGACGCTCACTAACTAGTTCCTTCTGAACTCACCAGCAGAAGTCAACCTCCCGCGTCCTTTCATTCGCCCTTAACTCTCATTAAAGTTTCAGTGAGTCTGTTCTCCAGCGGACGTCTTCCCAAGACAAACATCTGCTCTCATTTAACATAATTGCTATTTTCTCATAACACTACAGGTCCAGAGAGGAGGTGCAGGTGTGTGTGGGTGTGTTTTTATGGATAAAGAGAAATCAGTGCTTTTGAAAATACAATGAAACACCATTCGTTACTCATTTTATTTCCGTAATTATGTCAAAGTAAATATGATACAACAACAAGAATCAATATTTGCATTATTTGCATTAACACATTTAATGCTGGGTATTAACTGTATAAATTACATGTAATCTGGATTACATAATCAGATTCCAAAAATTAAGTACTTGTAATAAGATTACATTACATTTATCATTTTACAGTTACTTTGATTACATGATTATTCAGACAATAGCAATAAATGATTCATAATTTATTGATTTCCCCTAATTTCAACATTGCTTCAACTACTAATGAACACTTACCACTTAACTTGAACAGTTAACACTCAGTGGGTTAGTTAACCATGTACTACTATATGCACAAATTCACATTAAATCTTATTTACATATAACGCAGGGCTGTGCAATTAATTTTTTATTTTTTGCCAGCTGAACCTCTTTCACTAATATATCTACTTGAAGTGCCCCTGAGATTTTAAGGTAGCACGTTAATAATTAAGTAACTCATTTGCATATTCACAGTTCTGAACTATTCTAAATGCTGATAAACGATTTAGGTCAAAAGTAATCTAAAAGTAGTCTGATTATATTACCGAGAGAGAGAGAGAGTGTGTGTGTGTGTGTGAGAGAGAGTGTGAGAGAGTGTGTGAGATGGAGTCAGCAGGACTCACATGAGAAAACACACAGAACACACGTCTGAACCCGTGAGAGAGCGACAGCATGAATCACTGAATAGAGATTAATGAAGGAGCACTACAGCGCTTCACCGCGGTACCTCCCTCTGAGAGAAGAGAGCAGCGCGTTTAAGACAGACACACAACACACTGGAATAAATAAATGAAATGCTTCAGAAAGAGAGAGAGAGATTCTGTAGCAGGCACGCTCAGATAATTGCTTATTTTGAGAGCAGACCTGCATTGAGTTGTTAGAAAGCAAAGCTCTCAGAAACATACACACACACACCACAGAGATTTCAAAGAGCACTAGAACAGAACATACTCTGAGGAAAAAAACTATGTGAGGCTGAGGTGCTGTGGATGGGTGCCAGGGCATTGCTATGCAGTTTGGTAGGCTGTTCTCAGTGGTTTTGACATGTTGCTAAGTGGTTGCTAGGGCATTCTGGATATACTTACTGTCTCACCCACCCTCTGTGATATTCTGGTCTGTAAATATGCCACAAATCACTAACCCACATATAAGCGATGATAACAGTGATGCTGTCCATAGGATAAAACACACTCATCTGTCATTCATTATTTGCATTTGCACTCATGAGCCACGGATAATTAATTAGATACTAACGATTTGGTCTCTCATTAGCTAGGAAATGAAAAATGATTTATGGTCTGAACATGAGCGCTGCTCTGTCTTACATGTATGTTATGGTAATTCATTCACCCTGCAGGCTGCAGCCGTGCGATCGATTTATTTGGCGAGAGACTGACGCTTTTGAGCAGCCGGTTAACCTCTCACCGGCGTGGGAAGGCGAGCGCTCGTCTAATTAAATAAACGAGAGATGACGCGGCAAGGCTGAAGAGGACAATGTGTTTGAGTGTGTGTAAGCAGCTGCATCAAATGATAATCACTGGAAAGAGTTTGATTTAATTTACTAATATACGTGTTCTATATAAAGAGAGCACAGCCACCCACTGCAGAACACATGCTTCCTATTTCCGCATCTCACCAAGATTATTATCATTAACCAAAACCATTACAAAGATGAAAACCAGCAGTGAAAAATAAATTGGGAGGCTGCTAAACAATAAATGCATGCATCAATAAATGCATAAACAAGTGAATAAAAGTAAACATGCATAAATAAATAAATGAATAAGTGAATAAAAACAAGCATGCAAAAATAAATACATAAGTGCATAAATGCAAGCATGCAAAAACATAAATGCAAGCATGCATGAATAAACAAATAAATGCATAAATGTGAATAAAAACAAGCATGCTTAAACAAAGGCATAAATAAGTGCATACATGCATAAACAAATAAATGAATAAATAAGTGAATAAAAACAAGCATGCAAAAATTAATACATAAGTGCATAAATGCAAGCATGCAAAAACATAAATGCATAAATGCACGAACAAATAAATGCATAAATAAGTGAATAAAAACAAGCATGCTTAAACAAATAAAGGCATAAATAAGTGCATCATAAGTAAACAAATAAATGTATGTATTACAGACAAAAATCAATGTATATAATTAAACAAGATGTATCTGATATATACTACATCCTGTGCTGTAAAACTAAAACTTATAATGAAGTTTATAATGAAGTTTATGAACCATTTAAATTAAATAAAATGAGATTGAACTTAAAAAGCAAACTCCAAAAAAGAAATAAAAATACAAAGTAGTGAACCTTTCAAAGCTATAATAAGCCAAGTCATAGTTTCTTTCTTTTGTCTTGTTGATCTGATCTCCACACAATCACAGCAGTAATCATATGTTTGGCGGTTGGAGTCTCATGTGGGACGCTGAAGGATGTTGATTTAGTGATTCAGCTGATGGTTTAATGATCTTGTCCTTCCTCTGACCCTGGCTATTGTGTCCTGAAGCGGGACCCTTGCTGCTCCAGGGATGTTGTAACATGGACCCCTGTGGGCAAATGTCTCAATTCTCCCAAAGCAAATAAATATTAAAATAAGAGCGTGTGCTCATATCAAACTAACCTAATTCAGACTAATTTATTTGTTGTTCATTCAAATTTTATATATATATATATATACACATAAAAAGCAACCAAGTGTAGAACAATTCAATAAATTAAATACTCGGATAACGCTGTTGTGAGCTTAACTGTGGTAAAATTATGGCTTTTTGTTTTCCACTTAAACTTGTTTTCCACTTAAACTATTGAGAGAATAATGCATCATTCTGACTCATCTTCATACAATAACTATCATTAAAATAATATTACTCTCAAGTCCCTCCACATTCAATTGTAAACTTTATTTCTCCTAAGTGATTAATGATTTAAAGCAGTTCTATATCTGCTGTCCCGACACACACACACACACACACACTGGATCAGGTGCAGTGAGTTTCTAAAAGCCTCTGCTGTTCCTGAACGGCCCCCGGCTACAGTGTCTCTCTCCCCTCATTCTCTCTTGCTTCATTTTTCTTTACCGTAGTATCTATTACTGCTGTGTCGCTCTCACACTGTAATTAATCATCTTTTTTTATCGGTGTCTCCTCTAATTGGTTCTCATCAGAACTCTGCTGCACTTCACACTCTCTCACAACACACACACACACACACACACACACATACACACACACAGACCTGCCGCTGCCGTCATCAGCTGTATGAGAGCCGCTCTATTCATTTCTATTCTCCTCCCAGCCTGTTTTCTGACAGACTGAAAGAGCTTCATAAAGGAAGATGAATATTGTGCTGATATTGTACGTCAGACGTGCCTTCAGGGACAAATGCAGCAATGTGATAACCAAGCATGTGTAATGCAGCCACAGAAAGATACTGTTAACTTGTTTCATTTAAAAAAAATAATATTTATAAATCGATCCAGAGATTATATATTAATATTTTTATTAATAATTTTATGGATAAATTATTCCGTACTACTATTATTAGTAGTACTATTATAATTATTATTACCAGTTTTATTCAGCAAGGTTGCATTAAATTTATCAAAAGAGACAATAAGGACTTTTGTAATATTATCTATTTAATAAATGCTATTCTTTTGAACTTTTGAATCCTGAAAAATAAAATGTATCACTGTTTCCAGAAAAATATTGTGCAGCACAACTGTTTTCAATATTGATAATAATCAGAAATGTTTCTTGAGCAGCAAATCAGCATATTAGAATGATTTCTGAAGATCATGTGACACTGAAGACTGGAGTAATGATGCTGAAAATACAGCTTTGATCACAGGAATAAATTATAATTTACTATATATTCACATAGAAAACAGCTATTTTAAATTGTTATATTTTTTCATGATTTTTCCAGCATGTTTGATCAAATAAATGAGCGGAAGAGATACACAATAGTGTATATATACTCAGCTCAGAAACATATTTGTCATCATCTAGCTTGACAGCCCTTCAAACCACATTTCCCATGAGCCCCTCTCACTTCCTGCTTTGCTTTTTTTATCCAGTTAGAGGAATACCAGCTGTGGTTTTCCCATGCATCCGAGCGCCAGCTCACGATCCCAGCGCTTCAGACGCCACGAGGGAGGAGTGTGTTTATGTGTGATGCTTGCTGATGCAGTTTTTGGGTCGGTTCTGACCACTAGAGTGCAAGAAGAGCCTTCAGATGGAAACCACAAGAACACAATACAACCCAATCGTCCAGAGAGAAACACACAGCCAAACCGAGACAACGAGAAGAGCTCGAGTCCAAAAACACACGCCCATCTACACAGACACAAACTGTTTATAATGCTCAAACTCTGCCAAATAAGTTTCTGCTTTCAACTAACGGACAGCAGGACGAATCCTCCACCATCTGTGCTGCTTCAACAAAACAATAAGACACTGTGTGTGTGTTTGGATATACATACTGTTCTCATCTGCCACTCTTCTTATTAGATCAATGCGCTGGTTAAGTATGTTTGCAACAGTGTGTAGGAATAACACAAGTTCACTATAATCTATGCACTCTGGATGAATAACCCATATCACACACATGCACATGCTGAGGACGGTGGATTAATCATAGATTATCATTGCATTGATCAGCATGCGTTATCAGGAGCGTCACGTGCACTGGAGTGTGTGTATGTACATGTGTGACTCTGATATCATCATGTGATTTAGATGGTGGGATTCAATCTAACTTAACGTGATTTCATCTGAAAATAACACTGTTTAACTGCTTTCTTATTTAACATGCTGAATCAATGATATGAAAGTGAAGATTATATCATTTTAATTCATCACTGTGAGTTACTTTATGCAAGTGCATGAACGCAAACGCATATGCAAGATCAATTTCATGTGTTGTTGCCACATGACATCTGAAATGTGTTGGACTACAATTAACATCTGCATTATCAGCACTGCCACAAGAGGCGCTATAGGGAACATTATACAGTCTTTCAAAAGAGCCTAATGCATAAACGTAAGATTTTTTTTTTTGTATGTTTTTGAGAGAAGTCTTTCATGCTCACCAAAGCTGCATTTATTTGATTAAAAAAAAAACACGTTAAAGCAAAAAATATTGTGAAATATTATTACAATTCAAAATAGCTGTTTTCTATGTGAATATATTTGAAAATGTAATTTATTCTTGTGATGCAAAGCTGAATTTTCAGCATCATTACTGCAGTCTTCTGCGGAAGATTATTTCTGCCACATAAGAGAGAAAAAAAAACATGCTTTAGTAAATCATATTTATGAGATTAAAAGTCCTAATTATGATATTTAAAAAAAAAAGCAAAATTATGAGACACTAAATCGTAATTATGAGATAAAAGTCAAAATGATGACATAAAAAGTCAAAACTGAGACTGAGACAAAAAAAATTTCTTCTAATAGCTGCATCTTTTTGTGGCATAATTTTGACTTTATATCTCATAATTATGATTTACCAAAGCATGATTTTTTTTCTAATGTGGCAGAAATGGACTTCCATAAGTGTCACGTGATCTTTCAGAAATCATTCTAAGATGCTGATTTGCTGCTCAACAAACATTTCTGATTATTATCAATGTTGAAAACAGTCGTGCTGCTGAATATTTCTGTGGAAACTGATACATTTCATTTTTCAGGATTCACAGATAGGGTTGCAAAAAGGTGGAAAATTTCCAGTAAATTTCAGAAATATTCCAGAAATTTTTGAAACTTTCCAGGATTTTTTTTTTCAGGAACAAACCTGAAGAGTGAAAGACTTTAGTATGTTTCTGTCTCGATAAACAGCTGCTTGTGTTGATCTTGTGATTGCTCCAGTGAGATGATGTGTGTAACTCACGGTGGTTTTCTGGCACTGGATGCTGGAGCTGTTGAAGCGCAGCGCCGTCACGCTCTGCATCTCGCCCTGGATGTGGAAGATGCACTCGTAGTTCCTCTGACCGGACTGAGGCTGTGGAAGGTTGTGTGCCGACAGCGTGATGGGCTTCGGGACGCCGACGGGGATGAAGATCTGAGTCGACGGCAGAATCTGAGGACAGTCCTGTGAAAGAAAGACGAACATCTGTTATCATCAGCTGACTCAAACACTTCTGGAAAGGGACATAATTCTTACTGAAACAACAAAACACAGGAAGGACATCGAGCGATCAGTCGTCCAGACCAGCTGACATGTTTGACGTTTGCTTAAACAAGCCTGATGGGGAACATATGGAGCAATGTCACGCAAAGACCTGCAGGAGAAACGAGCTGGACGCTGACATTATCTGGAGAATATCCCAGAATACCTCACTGCTCTGTGTGTGTGTGCGTGTGAGTGTGTGTGTGCACGTGGGTGTGAGTGAGTGTGTGTGTTTGTGCGAGTGAGTGTGTGCGTGTGTGAGTGAGTGCGTGTGTGTGTGTGTGTGTGTATCGTGAGTGTGTGTGTGTGTATGCGTGAGTGCGTGTGTGTGTGTGTGTGTGTGTGAGCGTGTGAGTGTGTGTGTGTGTGTGTGTGTGTGTGAGCGTGTGCACACTTGAGGAACAAAACATGAGTCAAATCAGTCAAGGCCTCAAACCATGACTGGATGTTCAAAATACTTTTTAACGATTCTCAAAGAAGTCTCACCAAAGATGCTCAAGAACCATTTCTGATAATTATCAATGTTGAAAACAGTTGTGCAGTTCAATATTTTTGTGGAAACTGTGATATATTTTATTTTTCAGGATTCACAGATGAATGGAAAGTTTAAAAGAACAGCATTTATTTCAAATAGAAGAACATTAAAAATGTCTTTACTGTCACTTTTGTTTTAATGCATCCTTGCTGATTGAAAGCAGTAATTTAGCAATTGCTTAAAAAAATCCTACTGACTTAATTTATACATTTATAAACAATTAATTTATATATTAAAATTTACATATTTTTATGGATTTCTTTTTGTCAAATTAATTATTTATATAAATTGTATATATCATTTATTCATATAAATATTTAAAAATATGCTGCCATATAATCTCTGGATTGGATTTATAAATATTACTAAAAATCATTTAAAGTTAGTCAACAAGCAGTAAAGATGGAAAAACAGGAGGACAGAAGACGTGAAGTCGACACTCCACAGCCACAGAAAAGCTCTTATGAAACCGTTCATGTATAAACACCATTAAAACAGTGTTACTGATGGGAAAATGTTCAGAGAACTGAAAGAGAGAGAGAGAGAGAGAGAGGAGGAAGTAGTTATTCCAGTCTGAGAAAGAATAAGATCTCATGCTAAATGAAGCAGTGAAATCAGCTGTTAATGTGGTGTCGAGGGATCAAGAGAATAAAACCAAGAGCAGCAATCACTGGATTCCTCCAGGTGTCTAGACAGCCATCCCTCCTCAAACCAAAGGAAATTCTCCTGATGTTATTCTGATTTCATCCGTAAACTGACAGTATTTTTGGTAACAGCGCTGGCTTCCTGTCTTTTGCTTATTTAGCGTAAAGAGTGACCACAGCAGCGTCCGGTCAGCCGCCCACGCGCCTGTAAACCACAGCAACCTTACAGACGTAAACGAGCAGTGAGGAAGGATGTTTGCTGAATAAGTGTTCAAAACGTTCCACCAGGATTTTTAGAAAGCCTGAATATTTTTGAAGGGCTTCTGCAGAAGCAAACCTTGAGCTTTGTGTGGCCAAACAACGATGGCTATACCACGTTCATCATGATCCTTTAGTCAAAGAAAATAATAAAACAATCCTTCATAGAAGGGCATACAGTACCATTCAAAAGTTTGGGGTCAGTAGGATTGCTTTAAGAAGAAACTTAATACTTATATTCATCAAGGATGCATTAACTCGATCAAAAGTGACAGTGAAGACATTTATAATAATGATGCTGAAAATTCAGCTGCGCATCACAGAAATAAATTACAGTTTAACAGATATTCACATAGAAAATACCTATTTTAATTCGTAATAATATTTCACAATTTTCACTGTATTTAATATTAATATGTACTATATTTACTATTTTTTGATCAAATAAATGCAGCTTTGGTGAGCTCAAACTTTTGAATGGTTTTGTGTGCACAAAAACAATTATTAACACTGCAGCAAAAGCAGCTCAAAGACTATTGGTTTTACTTTAACTATGCCATACCTGCTCCAAAAATATCATATCTCCCACCATGAAACATTAATATTTGTTCCGGTAAGCAGCGGCCCGGAGCACAAGCACCATAAAATCCACTTTCAACACAGCTTTGTGCAATGAATGGAAAACGAGCCGTGATACGGCTTCAAGAAGCCCATCAGAAAGCCACCGATCATCCTCAAGTCAGTGTGCTGAACTAATTTAAATGTTTAAATTCAATTTACTTAAATTAAATGGCCTCATTTAAATATTTCCGTGTTAAATTGAATGGAAAGCAAACGTCGTTTAGATGTCAGACCTCATCAGACGAGGATCTGTTCCCTAGTGAGCCGCCGGTGCTGTCTACAGAGGGAGCGTCTTCAAATACTGCATCCTAACTGAAGTAGAGCCTCAAAAGCAACTGATATAAAGAACACAAGACTCTACTAGCAAATTAACATGTTGCTATGCTAAAAAAAACTTGATAATTAAAGCATAAATACACAGCACACACAATTATTGGGTGCAACTGAATTACTTTTTCATATTAAATGAAGTATTTCTCTAGGCTCTGTCTGCTATCTTGGATGATTTTTTGCTGCCTTCATGCTCCTTTGGGAACTTCCAGCCTACAAGTTTGGAAATGTGAGTTTGCTCAGTGAAAAAATAAAGGGATGCAATGGGAAACTCTGTATTTAGTTCTCTCTTCTTCAATAACTGACAAAGACAAGAAGCTTTATAGTGCTAATTCAACAAAATGAAGAGCAAAGGGTGAGCATTAAGTGTGTAATTGATGTTTTGAGTATTTTATACTTGCAGTGGCACAGAAAATGAATTAATAAATGCAGTTGTGTCGCACAGGCCTGTCGTCTCATAATTCAATAAAATGAGTGATAGTTACTGTAAAATGTATGGTTATTCTTCATCAACAATAAACAATATTTGAATAAATTAATTGCACAGTCAAAATGTACAATTACAACTTTTTGATTTATTTTATCAATATCAGTCAGTGTTGTTAATGTTAACTAAAACTATTAAAATCATTTTTGGTAATTGAAATAAATCTAAAATATAATAGAAATATGACATGAAAACTTCAACTAAAATTAGAAATGTTGCCTTGGCAGTTAACGGAAATAAAATAAGTTATAATAAAACTAAAACTGAAATAATAAATTAAAGCTTAATAGAAATATATTAAAAAAAGACAAATTCACAAAACAAAATTATCAAAAAGTAAACAAATTAAAAATGAAAATATAAAAATAAAAGGTAATTCAAAAAATGAATAAGTAAATAAATAATCAAATGTAAATATTACATGAAAAACTTAAAAATGTGAAATGTTGCCTTAGCAATTAACGGAAATAAAATAAGTTATAATAAAAATAAAACTGAAATGATCAATTAAAGCTTAATAGAAATATTTTTAAAAATAATAAAAAATAAAAATGACAAGTTCACAAAACAAAATTACCAAAAAGCAAATAAATTAAAATTGAAAAAATAAACATAAAAGGTAATTCAAAACATTAATAAATAATGTAATAGTATATAAATAATAAAATATAAATATTAAAAAAAAAAAAAAACTTAAAAAATTAGAAATGTTGCCTTGGCAAGTAACTGAAATAAAATAAGTTCTAAAACTAAAACTGAAATAAAAAATAAATTAAAGCTAAATAGAAATATTAAATGACAAATTCACAAACTAAAATTACGAAAATTAAAAATAAAATTGAAAATAATAAAGCTAATTCAAAATATTCATAAATAATACTAGAATTATACTGATTCCAACTATTTTCCATGAGTCATGATTCACTAATTAACGTTTCCAACTTCAAATCCAGTAATCGTGGTGTTACTTGTGTTTCACACCTCATAAACGCGATCATTCGCATGATTTAGGACTCACCGCAATGCATTCTGGGATTGCCTTTCAGTGAAGGATACAATGAGACCCCGCTATAGAATTCAACAGAAACGAGTTATCTTACAAGACAGCACAGAGCTGCTGCCTATCTTTTGGGCCAGGCTCTGCATCAGGACACCAATGAGGCCTAAAAATACAGTCTAGGTAGGCAGCGCACCAGCGTACGGAGCAGACACGCTAAAAATAACCAGTGATGCATATAAATGTGAACGTGTGAGAGAATGCATGCTGGTAAGAAGGTGTCGACCAAGAACAAAGGAAGAGAAAGAGAGAGAGAAGACAGGAGAGGAAGTAATCACTCTGATAAAGTCATTTCTCTTCTCCTCCTCTGGTTTAATTATTCAAAGTGGATTAGATCTGCGCTTCAGCTGCCCAATGCATCCCAGCGATGAATATTACATAGATGCAGAGAGAGAGAAAGAGAGGGGAAAGATACAACAGGGTGGCAGATATGAACTGAGAAGAAAGGAACAGAGCAGAGAGGGAAAAAAAGCTGAAAACGACAGACATGCTTGAATATCGGCATGCTGGAGCAGAGAATTGTGGGTAATGGGGTCAGAGGTGATGCTAAAGGCCATGTGACCCGTTTTCAAGGTCTCTCTGGAATGCAGGCGCTGTAATTAGTGCCGTAGTCATGACGACTGGCGTGTTTCACTGCACGCATGTGATAAAACTCCCTCACTTCAGTCTGATCGACTTGAACCGGCTGTCACTCGTCGTCTGGTTGTTCTGCGGCTCTCAAAAACAGAGTCAGGAAGATAAGGAGGAATCCTACACGAGGAATATCAGCGCGTCGTGACAGGAAAAGCGAAAGAACCGGCAGCGTAAAAGCAAATCGTGTGTTAGAAATGAAGCGCAGACTCTTTCTGCCGCACTTATTCTAATCTTTTCCATCTCAGAGCCTCTAACAGACACCATCACTGATATATTCTTGCTTTTATACTCGAATGGTGAACAAACGCTCAGCATAGACCTTCAGAGGTGCAGAAAAGACTAATGCATGTGCAAAATTAAGCGCCGAATTTGGCAGGTACATAAAATCACCAGTAACTTAAGTACAGACGTCAACATGATTTACATTAAAAACAAAAGTGGCTGTGCATTCGGAGTAAACTATTTAAGTTTTTTTTAAAGAAATTAATACTTGTATTGATCAAGGATGCATTAAATTGATCAAAAGTGACAGTAAAGACATTTATAATGTTACAAAAGATTTTGAAAATATGCTTAATAAATGCTGTTATTTTATACTTATTCAATAAAAAAAGATTCTGAAAAATAAAATGCATCATGGTTTCTACATAAATAAAAGCAGCACAACTGTTTTCAACATTGATAATAATCAGAAATGTTTCTTGAGCAGCAAATCAGCATCTTAGAATGATTTCTGAAGATCATGTGACACAGAAGACTGGAGTAATGATGCTGAAAATACAGCTTTGATCACATAAATAAATTACAGTTTAACAGATATTCACATAGAAAACAGCTGTTTGAAATTGTAATAATATTTCACTATTTTTACTGTATTTTGATCAAATTAATGCAGCTTTGATAAGCAGAAGAGACTTTTGAATGGCAGTGTAAATCACAAATAATTCTTTATATTACAGTAGATTGCATGGAATTAACTTACACTGGGATTTCTTATAAATTATTTAAAACAATTTGCACTCATAAACACTGATTTCTAGCCAAATTAAATATTTTAGAGCTGAGCTATAGTAAAAAATGAATGTTTGCATGACATTTCCATGACATCAAAGCCTAGAAATCATCATTTTCAAATTTCCCCATGACTAAACATGTAAAACGTTTCATTTCCCATTTTCATTTCTTCCTGGTGAGATCATTTTAAAAACATTCATAAAATTTTTTTTTAATAAAACCTCTGCCTAGTGTTATTAAAACTGTGGTAAAATATCTTACGGGGGAAAAAAAAATATTTTTTATCTTTTAAATAATTTCAAAGCCAGTAATTTATGCTTCATTGGCAAATAGCAAACAGATTTCAGGAAAATACTTATTCTGGCAAACATGCATGAACTCTGACTCAAACGTAGTTTATTAGAAGCATAAAACCACACTGTCTGATTGGCTGAGGAACCTTCCTTCCGCCAACGCCTTTCCTTCCCGCGGCCCGCGCTTTATTTTCCACCTCTTCCCTGCTTCTGTCTCTCTCTCTCTCTCTCAGCCAGAGCTCTGGTGAAACACATGGCGTCACATCTATAATGTAATCTCCCACGTTAGTGCCAGAACCTTCCCACTTCCCTCGCTCGGCTCACACTTTCTCCCTCGCACATATCTGGAGTCTATTAGAGGAAACCAGCGCGTTTCATCTGCTCTCCTACAGGCTTTTAAAACACAGAATTATGGGAGATTCCCAGCGGACTCGCACTCAGCCAATGAGCGAGCGGCGATGACCGGACTCTCTCGTCTTATCTCACTCCTCTCGCTCGCAACAGTACAACAGATCGAGTTTCTCATGAGTGAAAATCTGAGGGCGGAGGAGGAGGAAGCGTGAGCGATCACACGAGAGAGATAAACACACCGCTTAGCGTCCGAACCGGCCGTGATGATGCATCAGGTTTCCAGTGACAACTCAGTGAAAGCGAGAACAAATCAATGACAGCCAATCAGAACATATTCGATGTTTAAACCCAATGTCAAATGCAGTTTGCAGCCCATTACACTGGCACTGTGTGATGTGTGACACTTGCAATGTGATGCACTGAAACTGGATATTAAATGAGGAGAAAACGGGCGGGGACTTGATTTTATCCATCAGATCGGATTGGATGAATTGAGAGGAAATTAAATTCAGTTTGACATTTACATAGCACAGCATGTTTTACAGTAAACTGGACATTTGGGTTATTATAGTTAACTAAAACCATTAAAAAAATTTTTTTTTTACATTTTCGTTACTTGAAATAAAATTAACGTTAAATGAAATATAGTAAAACATTAAAAAAAACAAAAAAAAAAAACTTTCAGCTATAGCTGCCAAGGCAACATTTCTCATTTTAATTCAGCTTAACATAAAAATAAAATAAGTATTGAAAAACAACTAAAACTGAGATAAACACTAATAAAATCTATATAGACTTATGTATATTAAAAAAACTATAAATGACAGACCACAAAATTACTAAAACTTTAATTGAAAATAAAAAAATAAAATAAAAAACTGATTCAAAATATTAAAAAAACTATAATAGTATATCATTGATACTAAAATAAACTGCTTTTACATTTTCATAAGAAAATTTGAGTCTCTTTGCAGAAAAAAAAATGCTGGATGAGAGTAATATAAATATTTATAATAATTATTAAAGTTTAATAATCAGTTACACTACACTCTAAAAAAAATGGTGCTAAATTGCACTAAAAGTGGTTGATTGGCTCGTCATCACAGCATGTGCTACATACTGTAACACCTATCTTTAAAGGTGCTCTACAGATTTTTTGAACGAAATTAATATTTGTATTCATCAAGGACACATTGATCAAAAGTGCCAGTAAAGACATTTCTAATGCTCAAATAAATGCTGTTCTTTTGAACTTTCTATTCATCTGTGAACCCTAAAAAATTAAATGCATCACGGTTTCCACAAAAATATTGTGCAGCACAACTGTTTTCAACATTGATAATAATCAGAAATGTTTCTTGAGCAGCAAATCAGCATATTAGAATGATTTCTGAAGATCATGTGACACTGAAGACTGGAGGAATGATGCTGAAAATTCAGCTGCAGATCACAGAAATAAATTACAGTTTAACAGATATTCACATAGAAACAGTTATTTTACATTTTAAAAATATTTCAAAATTTTTACTGTATTTTTGATCAAATAAATGTCTTTGTGAGCAGAAGAGACTTCTTTCAAAAACAGCAGTGTGTAGTAATTTCTGGCTGTGTTTCTTACCTCTGACATGTTCACGCGTCCCTCCTGGAAGGAGCAGTCGTTGGCGTTCTGTGTGCACAAGTGTCTGTATTTACACCAGTGACACGGGAACGAGCCGTTCACACAGGACAAGCACCTGGAGAGATACAGAACAATACAGATGAGACACACAGAATCAAGCCAAAACACACATTACAGAGTCAGAAAGCACAGCGCTCCACACACGTCCTTGTGTTTTGACCTCACACGCTCTCATTCTGCCCATGAAAGAGTGTGAAATAATCTCTCATTCCCTCACAAAGATCCACTTTAGTAGGCGTCTCCGGTTTAAGAAAGAAAGTGAGCGATGACAAAAGAGAGAGAGAGAGGTCAAAAAGAGATGAGGATTTCCCATTAAAACACGAGCAGAGTAGATAAGAAAAAAGAGAGAAAGCAGAAATCTGTGCCAAAAAAAAATAGTGCACTGACTTGACAAGTGTCTGTATTCACACCAGTGACACGGGACCGAGCCGTTCACACAGGACAAGCACCTGGAGAGATACAGAACAATACAGATGAGACACACAGAATCAAGCCAAAACACACATTACAGAGTCAGAAAGCACAGCGCTCCACACACGTCCTTGTGTTTTGACCTCACACGCTCTCATTCTGCCCATGAAAGAGTGTGAAATAATCTCTCATTCCCTCACAAAGATCCACTTTAGTAGGCGTCTCCGGTTTAAGAAAGAAAGTGAGCGATGACAAAAGAGAGAGAGATCAAAAAGACACGAGGACTTCCTATTAAAAAACGAGCAGAGTAGATAAGAAAAGAGAGAGAGAGAGCGGAAATCTGTGCTAAAAAATAGTGCACTGACTTGCTGCTATTGGCAGCTGCCTTCTTAGGGAACATATAACTAAAACACAACCTTTTAGATGACGGAACCATACATACAGACAGAAACTCAAAATACACAAACAAGTATTAGTGAAAACGGCTCATTTTTAATTCGATTGAAGGGTCTCTCACAGACTCTGAAAGCATCTGAGGCTTCTGACTGCAATACAAAGTCATTTGTTTCAATTATTCAGTATTAAGTCCAGCAAAATTGTTCACTCAGTGACATTAACTGATGCTTTAGGACAAAGAGCTCTGACCTCATAATGGTTTCAAGCATAGGGTCTAATTGACCAATCAGCTGTTGCGTTGAGAGCAGCTGTCCAATCAGAGTTGAGAAATGATTGCCTAATGAAATCTGGTATCTTAAAGAGCAGCATTCACAATGCTTTTCACAATTATTTGATTGTGTTATTAGATAAATCAGAAAAATGTAAGTAAAAAAAAAATCATATATATATATATAGAGAGAGAGAGAGAGAGAGAGAGAGAGAGAATATATAAATAAAAATATATATTTTATAATTTTACATACAATAAAACAATGCTTTTAACATCTCTGAGGATTTGATTGTTATCAGATAAAGCAGACAATTGTAATTTAAAATATAAATGCCATATATATATATATATATATATATATAGAGAGAGAGAGAGAGAGAGAGAGA